CTGATGTGTGGAAAATCGTGGCAAAACAAGCTTTTGACCGTTAAGTGACGAGCACCAGAGTTTGCAAACTGTGAGAAGTATTCTGTGACTGAGATGAGGAAGATTTATAGAGGATGGCAAAGCAGATGAGAGATGTCTTTTTCCACCCCACCCAAGCTGTTTTTCAATGTTGAGAGACTGTCACGGCTCGTCCTCTCGGTTACCACAGCTGTCTGCCATGTGGGGCGCTGCGTGACTCGTACTCACAGTTTCACCAAACAACAAAAAGCTATACCAGAGAAAACCCCCCCCAACCCACAACAAGACCACCGTCATATTGCTGCTCCATTGCAATGACGATATTCAGGACCCGAAGGTTTTAGCTGTTACTTTTAAAGTGATGTTTGGTAAAGATGAAGAGCAAAGACGAATGGCAAATGTAGTTCGTAAACAAGGCATCTCAGATTGCAAAAGAGGATTTCAGATGACCAACTCAGAAAAAACTCTTTCATGGAAATGTTGATAACAGAACTGGACAGTTTTTCACTGCTTGTTTTAATATTTGTGGAAAATGACAAAAGCTGAACCAGTTCACACGACACGAGGGAAAACAAATCAGCCAATGTTCTCCTGACGGTGACTGCAGAATAATCTTCCTCATTGGGCTGAAGCTACACTCCGAACCCCAAACACATGGTAATAATAATAATACAAGACCTCATTTTTTCCCCCTGCTGCCACGCAAAGCAAACAAACATATAATACTTTAATTTGGTCTCTGTATGAAACGTTAGGTTACTTATTGAAATAACTTCAGAGCGCCTGGAGGAATCTGTTTTGCAGGCGAGTCATTTTACCTCTAGTGGAGGAAAACAGCCTCAGAGAGCAGATTAGGAGCCGGGCCGGTGCTCAAGGTAGACAGGTGTGTGATGTGAAAATTGCAAGTCTGTATTTTTACACCTATTATGTAGGAGGGATTTCTTATGATGTTATTTTCTTTCACCAGCTCTCCATTATGTTGACGCTATCTTTCACTTTTTGAAGGTCTCGTTCTCGTCTCGGAATTGATCACATTTTAGTTAGTCTCATCTCAGTCTCAGACAAAGAGGAATGTGGATTTTATTCCAAGGACAGTCGAGAACCACAAAATCACTAAACTGCCTGTGCATTGTCTGATGTATTTGTTTACATCATTACTGTGATTGCTCAAAGTAAACAAAGGAAAATTCCTGCACGTAAAATGTATCTCTGCGATGCCTTTTGATTATTTGACCAAGAAAGTATACAGTATATATGGCAATGAGAGAGGCGGAACTTGTGAAGTACATCAGTGGGGCAAAAACAGGGTCGAGACTGTTCCTTCCTCGTCTTGTGACTCTGCTGACGGTCTCGTGCACTGAGCGAGTCCTCACCCTCCTCGTTGCACTCACTGCCAATAGAAAAACCGTCTCAAGATGGATGACTTTAAAGGTTCAAAAGGTCCGCCCAAGACCCCCTTTTTCAAGCCAATATTTTGAAAGAAATGTATTTTATTTGCCCACACTTATTCATTTCAGGAGGCACTGAGAGATTATCCTATTCTGTCTTTTAGGTGTGAGGACTTTGAACTTTGAGGAGCTTGAACTTAACTTTGCATGGCACAGCATGGCAATCACAATTTCACAATTTGTGCATTTCAATCACAGGCCCTAAACTCTATTTATTTGGAGGGCCAAGTGTTTTTACAGCTGTATACGTAATGAGCTCTTTGGGGGCCTGTCACCTCAACTGTTAGCTAATGTCTCAAATTGAGTGTGTGTATGTGTGTATGTGTGCACGTGTGTGTGCACGTGTGTGTGCACGTGTGTGTGTGTGTGTGTGTGTGTGTGTGTGTGTGTGTGTGTGTGTGCTGGTCCAGGTTAGGTAATGTCTCTCTGTGTGACACCTCCCACTCCTGGCAGATTTAATGTCGTCACGACTGAGACTACACAACCTGATCTGTTAGTCAAAGTGACTACTTTTCTCATGACATCTGTACGTTTTGATCTCTTCTAAAAGATAAGAAGAGAAAATCTGGAAAATGAATTGACCTGTGTTACAAAGTTGTAAGCAATTGCAAAGTTAGGCAGTCAGTGACTATAACGAATAAACATATCCATCAAAAGGCTTTGGTGAGGTCAAAATATAATGTCTGGGTGTGAAAAGCTTATTTTTGTCTTTGGAAAATATTAAATTAAGGTTCATTTACTACGTCGTAGTGGACTAGTCAGTCCACTACGACAGTGGACTGACTCTTCGCAGAGATAGCTCAGCTGTCATAATGAGACAAATTTTGGCGTTGGATGTGAGAATGTATATATAAGGATGTAAATGTTTCATTCTGGCAAAAAATGTCTCAATACTGCAGTTCTGCAAATGGCCACTTGAGGCGGGCTCCAAAAGCGAGTCAATGTTCACTAACCCCCATGTTAAAATACCCAACTTTACAGCAGAAATAAACTTTATAGCATGGTACAAAGATGGTTTTACTCTATAGCTATTTTCTCATTCATGTTAACTGTACGGGGGTGAATTTTGATATAAGTCACCTTTTTTGTATTGTACTAATGCTTAAATTTAGGCATAATTAAGGTCGTGGCCGCTTTAAGTTCAGGTGGGTGTCGTCTCAAGTCGCTAGCTGTCTGCTCTGCTTTGTCACCCGGGCCCACCTCAGCTCCACCAACAATCTACCTCTTTGCCTATTTTTGGAATTGCCGGGAGTTAGGCTGTGTTTCTAAGGTGGCGACGAGAAATTTCACTTAAAAAGCCAACAAAGTCAGTTGGATTCATCCTCTGGGGAACATGAATGAAATTTAATGTTATTGTTTAAATTTTTGCACACTCATCACCTCAGGCATGACATCACATCACTGAGTCAGCAGAAAGCACTGGTCGTGTGCGGTGCGTCGACCAGCGAACGATAACTCCAGCGCAGTACATCACAGCTACTTGATCCACTTCACAGCCAATCAGCCTTTAGGTGTTCATGTGGAAAGAGGGAGGGAGGTGTTACGCCCCGATCATTAATAACTCCCAGAAAAATAAATCCTGAAGTTAGAGCTTTCAGCCTGTTGCTAAGCCCCTGGGGTGAGAAAATCACCCGTGTATGAAGCGGTGAAATTTATTCCACCTGGGAGAGTCAGACCTGGTTCCAGAAAGCACATCTGGTCTTTGGGTTTTCTGGCTCGGCCTGGTGTTTTTCACCACAGCTGTAGCACCCCATGCCCACACTTCTCACACGTCTTACTTCACTTCCTTTGACTCTCTTTGTCTCTGTTCAGTTTGAAAATGTTCATGTTTTAACTTTTTTCTCTTTGCTGTAGTTTAAAAGTATATTATACTACCTTCAGGTTAATTCAACCTTTTCAAAACCCACGATGAAAACGCTGCTGCTTTTCTGAGTCACCAGAAAGACGACACTACAGATGTTTTCATCGTTTTCTTCCTCTAGGATTAGAGATGCTGAGCCACTATAACAATAATTAAACTCCTCCAAAATCCCCCTCCAGTGACCTCTGGTCGTTTTAAAGTTCTTAAATATACCTTGTAAGTAGGCATGTGGTGTACACAGCAAACCAAAATGAACAAGTGATTCCTGCCAATGTAAACACTATTGGTTCCCAAGACCTCTTTTCCCATATTACTCAAGTGAACCTCAGTTTGATGGTGGGCTGACAATTGGAAACATGAATCACTGCATGTTCCTGAACTGATAAAGTACTGAGGCTGGAACAGGCACTGTGAAAAGATGAAATATTGATGGATGAAACCCCCATATAAAGGAATGAATTATCAAGAACAGGTGTAGTATTTAAAGAGTCAGGATTAGCCTAACTAAAGCTTCAACAATGTGATGCTTGGGGTTTGGAAAGGTTTGCAGCATCAGTCAATCAACGACTGACACTTTTCCACTGTTAAAGCTGCATTAGTTCATTTTTTGGCCACTTTTGCCGGCTTTACAACAAGCTGAACAACCCACAGCCCCAACAAATGGCATCAAAAGTGTTTTACAGCCCTTTTTGCCTTTGTCTCTATAATTAATTATCACCTGCCAATCTCTGTTGAGCACCTGTTCTGCTCCACCTGTTATCTTCCTTGGCTTAGGATTGGCTCAATCACACATCTATTAACACAAGTGAAGCTGTTGCAGGTGCTAGGAATTAGTAATTAGTGTTTCTCACAGTCCAAGGCAGAAAGGGCTCTAAAAATACAATACATGCCTGGTTAAAAAATCTACTCTACACACACTGAAACATGCAATGAATACACACAGACAAAAAAAAACCCAAGCAAAAAAACAGCATCATAAATTAATAAAATCACACTTACAACACACAAACACAAAAGATTGCTACCAAATATTTCTACCTTATGAGACTTAGTTCATCCAGTAGAGACTGAGAGACTTGATTTCACATCTTAAATACACATTTAACCCTGATTTTAGGTCAGAACATCATCTATGGGGTTTGAATGACTTTAAAGTCCTCTCCTTTCGCTTTCTCACATATTCCATTAATTCTCCTTCTTTCGTCCATTGTCGCTTTGCTTTCCCGGTGCGTCTCTCTTGTGGCTGCATGTGGTAACCTTTGTCATGATGTGGACTGTCCAATAATTTAACAACAGTCCGTGATTTATGGCACCACATATGGGAATAGTTTGTCTGAAGGAGGTCTCCCTCACCACAAGAAGAAAAACTGTCAAATTGAAATTGAAGGACGTCTGACGTATGAATAAAGCATTCAAATCAGGACCATATAAATCTAATCCTGGATTTTATATCATCCATATTTCCTGCTCCATTGATCAGAAACAGCAGCAATGTTACGCCCTTGCATCAAGTTTCTGAAGTGAAAACAACGCGTGATTTAGAGCAAATGGTCCATGCTCATAACTAATAGTTATGAGGACTGCAGGAATGAGGGATTTGGGTGGATTCATGAAGGAAGTTTTTGTTAGAGATCAGGTTCCTAACATCCCATAAGGCCTGTCATGTTCCAGCACCGAGAAAGTGAAAATATCCGTCAGCAGGAGATCAGTGTCCACTTGCTTCAACAGTTTTTCTCCAGCAACACACCCACATTAGCCTTTCTCAGACATTACCGTTTGCTGATTGTCACATTTAAAATATTCTGAAAAGTATTTCGACAAGGACAAATGCTTTCCTTAACTCTTGTTTTTTTCATTTGTAACCTACACTCTGAACTGCAACAAGCACCGACGTTAAAATAACAGAGTAAATCTAGACAATTGAATATCTTTTGACTCATTGGAAGAAAACCTCAAAAATCCAATGGGAGGGGTTTGACATGTGTTTTGAATTAATGGCTGCTTCGTTTCCCTCATGGGGCTACAATAGCACTCTGCTTTGTAAGTACAGTAGGAAACCGACAAGCACAAGTCAGTTAAAAAAAAAAAAAGCTTTATTGAAGTTCGATGCAAACCAGTCACATTTCACTACAAAACACAGGTTTACAAAAATTTTACATTTCCCTTTTTGTAAGTCATTTTTGTTTCTGTGATATAAAAGGTTATTTGTGTGTGTATCATAAGACCTAATCCCTCTTATAAATCAATACTCTGTTATCTCAAGTGTTATAAACTGAGGAAAAATGTTTTTTTTATTATATTACTTGTCATGTTTACAACCATTTATTTGTTGTCATTATTAATTTATGTGTTGAATGAGTTTCATTAGCTTCCTAGCCTTCATACCTCTTAAAAGGAATAGTTCAACATTTTGTGAAATATGTATATTCATTTATTTTCTTTCCGTGAGTTAGATGAGAGGATTGATACCACGTTGGAAAGGGGCCACTAAATATTTACCAGGATGTATCTTGTTTTTGTAATTTGATATGGACACAAATTTACAATATGTGCTGTTATGAACTCTGATAGATGATTTTAAATTTCTGTTTGTGTATGGATTATACAAACAAAATTTGTGTTAATTAGTAAGCTAGCTGCAATATCGCTGGATCTGACGGAAATTTAGCTGCTGGCCAATATTTCTGGGGTTCCGTTGGAGCCGGTGGATATCTGGATAACAGATATCCGGGAAAGTCTTCCTCTTTCGAGGGCCTGTCATTGGTTGCAGTCAGATTAGTAATTTGAGATGTAAGAATGGAGTTGATAGATGACGTCGAAGATCGGAGTAGATCGAAGTACCCAGTTTAGAAGCTATTTTTTAACTAATAAAAAGCTAAATTATCAACAGACAATAGCTGGTGAGGTCAGAGATTGCATTTTGCCAATGCATTCCACCTCTTTTGGTCTTCACACAGACTGTTTACCTGCATGCAACCGAAGTCAACCGAAAATAATCTGTTTTTAGAGATTAGGCTAGCTGTTCCCCCCCCCTGCTTACAGTCTTTATGCTAAGCTAGGCTAATCAACCCCCTGGCTCCAGCTCCAAGCATGAGAGTGGTATCAATCTTCTCATCAAACTCTCAGAGAGAAAGCAAATTAGTTATTTTTCCAAAATGTTTTCACAAACATGTCAACAAGAGTTACAGTACTTTCTTCATTTATACAGCAACAATAATAGCAAATCTTGCATACAATGTAAAACAAAGGTCGTCAGAGCAAAAATTCAGAGGCCTTGAATCCTGCAAATGTACTTCTTCAAACGCTGATCAAAAAAATGAAAGCTTTGCCCAGAAGAAGAAAGACATGTCTTCAGAGTACCTGCTCTGAAATGCTAAAAGATAAGCAAACTGACTTTAATGTTCACACTTTAAGAACCAATAAAGTGCCAACCATCAGAAAAGGATGTGTCAATGTGTACATGATGTGAAGACAAAGACATGTTTTTTTCTGTGCCCACATAGAAGTGCATGGGAATGTAGTTTGAGTTTTCTGGATGGGAAAAACACCACTACTTTAGTCCAAATCCGTGGTTAAAAGACTCCCTTTTTATTACGCCCCCTGAGGTTTCGATGGCTTGACAACAACCTCAAAAATGTCCTTTGCTTCCAGTACATTCAACATGACTTTAATAATAGATGTCTTTTGCTTGTTTATTCCTGGTATCTCATCATCTAATGCCCATTTTTAATTCTGGTAAAATCTCATGCTATGTCATTTATATATGGATGGAGCTTGTTATCTTTGGGTTTTCTTTGGCTATGATGTACAAGGAGAGAGCCATCAACAATAATAATGAGACTATGTTGTATGAGGGCAGTTTTCTCCAACATACCACAATATTCATATTTTGTACAAACATGGGCAATTTCACTTCTCGACAACAGTTCAGTTCTGTTTTCTATTTTCTAGATCTTCCTCTTGGTTCATTTCATGTGGCCATGTCATAAAAGCCCCATCTTGAATTAGAATTGTCACATTTGTTCATGAAGTTCTCAATTGTCTTGCATAATTCCATCAAAGTGGATTATTGCATCTCCAGTCACAATGGGTGACATTCCTTCATCTGTCAATAATTCTTCTTTGTACTGGACAAATCAACTCTTAGTTCACGTCTTCGTCCATCTTTCTACTGTCTCTTGGACCCAGTAGCAGGTGTCACGGTCCACTGCTGGGTGTTGATTCGTGTATTGGGGTAAGGCAAGCACAGAGGTCCAGGGGTTCCTGGTGATCCAGGTGGCCCTACTGGCCCTGGTATCCCCCCTGCTCCCGGTGGCCCAGTGAGGCCCGGTAGTCCTGCCACACCCCGGTGCCCTTGAGGCCCTGCAGGTCCTGCGGGGCCTTCTCTACCGGAGAGGCCAACATCACCTTTCTGGCCCCTCTCACCAAGTGGTCCTAGCGGGCCAAGAGACCCTTTAGCACCTTTGATTCCCACTGTCCCTCTATTGCCACTTGATCCTGATTCACCTGGTCCTCCTTTGGGCCCAAGCGAACCCTTCTCTCCAGAAGTTCCACGGCCTCCTATTGGGCCTCGGTCACCTTTGCTCCCAGTCAGTCCCAAGGGTCCTTTTGAGCCAGTCTCACCACGGTTCCCTTTGGTTCCTGGTGGTCCAGGAGCACCTGTTGAGAGAAGACCGTGAGGTTAAGTTGAAAAATAAAGTGTACATTTCATATATGACAACATCTACTTTACCTTTTAGTATAGTAAAGTTCTTTATGAGATGGATATGGTGAAAATCCACAAGCTTCATCTCCTCCATCACCATGGACAGGTTCCTAATGTCCACATCCAGTTGGAGATTCAACAACATGTTTTGCTGTCTCAGTGTGTCGGCCAAGTGGAGGAGTAACAAGACTGAGTTGTTAAGGTTCTGCACAAAAGAGAGGATGTGAGGATAAATACATGCAGCAAAATGAGACCCGAGAGAGTAGAAGAATGACAAGGGGAGGAGAAATTTGGTAAATTTAAGTACAAAAATCTCATCAACATTTATGTGATATGTCATCGCTGTCAATAATATCAAGAAAAACAGTTTTTAACAAACAATTCAAAGATTTAGCTAGCTAGCTATAGCTAACTTTTCATTATTTAGTCACAAAATATCAGTGTTCTAGCAGCACGTGTCATCAGACAAAATAGGTAGGGTTAATTCTTATAAAGCAGGTCTGTTTTTTAAAAAAGGTGGTTTTCAAAGGTGGTATACTACAGAACTTTTGAAAATATAATCATTCTCTGTGCAGAGCTTCAGCTCTCAATCTGCATTTTTTTGTGTGTGTTCATTGATAGAACCATTAGCAAGAAGACAGAAATCTTCTGTGTTTACTACCAGTAGATCTTCAGTGTGTCTGCCCATGCGACTCTGGCAGGATGAGCTCTCGATGTTGATGTACTTGTACATGCTCTGGACGTGGCTGACGGTGGCGTTGATGCTGGAGGAGACTGTGTCGATCTCCATGGAGATGGAGTTCAGACGACCATCCAAAGCAGAGAAACGCTCACCTGTCCGGTTCTCATAGTACCTGAAGAGGGATGGTTAGTGTGAGTTTTTGTTTTTCCTTAATGATAATACTCTTTCTTTCTGTGTCTGCGTGTTGAGTGTGTGTGTGTTTGTATTATATATTCCCTGCATTGTGGGGACATATGTTTGCAATGTCACATGTGGGGACTCACCTCCCATCTGAGACAAAAGCTGGTCGCCACAATGTAAATAAACTTTTAAGAGTTGACTTTAGGGTTAAGGTTATAATTTGACTCAGGATAAGGTTTTTTTGTGGCTGTTGGTTTATGGGGTTAAACCCTTTTGTGCACATGCCTACCAACTTTGCCAGCCATGGGGTAAAGGTTAAGATCAGGATCAGGAGTAAAGTTTTGGGGCAAAGATAGGGATAAGGCATTAAAGGTAACAGTTCTCCTCCAGGGGATTGATGTAAGTCAATACAATGTCCTCTAATGTGTAGTAGTACATGTGTTTTACCTGGAATGGTAGTGAAGGTCATGCATGTTCTCCTCATGTTCATCCATGAAAGACGTCACATTGTCAAGTTGCATATGCAGGTTCATCACCTGGAAGAAATACAGACATGTCGTACTTCTTAACCTGTGAGGACCCTCATTAAAGGTATAATATGTTACATTTGTCGGTTTGTAACACACTGTATTCAAAGTTTGCCACTCAAGCCAGTCAACATGCAAGCGAGGGAGAGAGCGACGATTGTCGTGTGGGCTATAGAGTGAAAACCTTTGACATACCTGAGATTGTCATATACGGGTAAGAAAAATCATTGAGGGGATTGAAATTACCTGTGGCCTACGACAACTGCAGTTACAACAGGTACAACTCTTCTTTTTCTTAAATAAAAGTTTTCTTTAAATGCACATGGGGTGGGTGTTCAATGCAGCAAACACAAACACACACACCTGCTGGGTGAGGTCGTAGTACACCTCAGTGGACATGGCGATTCTCTGGTGATCTGCTACTATGTTGTTTTGGAGGAAGCGCATTGCTTGTGTGGTGCTGCTAGTGTTGGATTTGATGGCGCTCAGAACTCGGCTGTAGTTCTGCCATTCGGTGGTTAACTTCTGGAGGACCAGGGTCTCCTCATCCGCTTTTCTCTGCAGAGCATCTATCCAAATTGTACTGGAGAGCAGAGGAAAACGCAGAAGATATGTGAGATGCAGTGTTCACATTATTTTTCAAACTGTGTCTGCTGTATTTATCTTTTTACTGTACTAACTATAGAAGCAGCCAAAAGTGTATGAGTAGATATTTTTATTAAACCACTATTTTAACTACATAAGAAAACATAAGATTCCCTTAATAAATCATGTACACGTTCAAAAATATATCATCACCCTATCAAAATTTATAGTATTTCAATACAATAACAAAAGAAATTGATGATTAAAGCACTCCTCTGGTCATGGTGGTCTCGCACGTTGCAGGTTGAGTGTTACTGTATATTTACCTGCAAAGCTTCCAATCACAATAAAGCTGAATAATTAATGTGTCACGTAGTGGATATCTGTTTTTCTAGTATAAAATACATCTTTTCATTTACCTGAGTGCCACTGTAGTGTTAACCTGCTGTGCCGTAGCTTTGATGTCGTATTGATCATCCACCAGCATCTTCATTTTCTCTTCAGTTTCCTCGATCACCTCCTTCCAGCCTTCAACCAGCTCCAGGTATCTTTCCAGCGACTGGTTCAGAAGTTTGATTGACATGAGGTGGTTTTGCATGTCGCGTGTCAGCCGGTTGCTGGTGGTCTTAAGGGTGGCCTGTGTCTGGGAGGCCTGGTCCAGGACCTGGAGGTGGACAGGGATCAAAGAGGCAGAATTTGTGAATAGAAATGAATGAAGTCATAGGCTGTAAAAGCTAAAATGTGAGGATCTGTTTTATATCTTTACAAATTAAATATTTTTGGGTTGCTATTTTTGAATTTTATGATTCACCACACAGTACCTGCTCCTGTCCCAGTATCATTCTCTGGATGTCTTCAAACTCCCTCTTCAGCCTGCTGATCTCCTCGCTGTACAGAGTCACATCCAGACAGCCTGAACAGTTAGAGGTGGAGCTCAGAGCTGAGGGATAACAGTCAGAGAACGAAAAGGAGGGAAGATAAGAGACAGTGAGGAAGGATGAAAAGTTCAAGTTGTCTGTATATGGCTTCTGGTAACCATGTGTGTAAAAGAGAAAAAGATATTTTGAGCGCCTCTGACATCACACTTAATCATCCGTACAGCTTCACACTTCATGTGACATGTACACATATACATATATATATATATATATATATATATATATATATAT